TGTTGATATCAGCGTTACATAAACCGAGATTAGCACATGGCACTTAACACGACTCCAATTTAATTAGTATAAGAATTTCAACAAATCCTAGCTGAGCACTAAGAATTAACAAATCATCTACATACTTTAAATTTCAAAAAAAAAAAATCAAGAGATATAGTTTCAGCACGCGTATTAATTATTACATCAAATATTTAACATTCGAAACCAGATGTAAAGCTTAAGCCAACATAAGGGCACCGCAACTATATAGATATATAAATAAATTAATAACCTCTCGACCTTACTTTTAATTGTTAAAATATGCGAATAAATATAACGACGACCGAATGTTAATTAGATGGTAATCGGTGATGTGATGAATAATTTTTCATTTCGGCGCGCGCGAATCCGAGTGTGTAAATCGTGCGCGCGCCGTAAAAATTCTTACCGTCGCTAACTTTAAATACTACATTCACACATGTATGCAGACACACACAACATACGCATTTATATAAGCCGGCAGAGCTTCCAAGGCTAAGCAGCGAAAGCGCCTTGGGGCCCGCCAGCAGTGTGTGTTCACTTATTAGTAAAACCACTACGATGTGCTCATACGCGGTGTACGCACACCGCGCGACAGGTACAACAAATATTTTACACACGCACACATACACCAAAGTGTTCAATGAACACACCGGGACAGAGAGAAGACCAATGGCCAGCATTTCGGCTCAGTTAATAACGTAATTATAATATTTGCTAGTTTGCTAGTCGTCGCATCCGGTAACATACAGACATATATTTTATTGAAGTTTATTTACACGCGCATTGTTATTATATATCCTCGGCGCGTCTTCCTGCCGCGCGTTGTAAATTGTCTTCTTGGTGCCAGACCCGCATTAGATTTAATTTCGAAAAATCAAGATATGAATTAACACACGCAGCCGACTCTTAAACTCTACTTTGACCCTCTCTGTATTTTTATATTGTATATTAAATAATTGTTGCAGTAGCATAATTATTATAATGGCATTTAGTAGCAATACCGGTGGTTGGTTTAATTAATCCGACGTAAATATAAATAGTAAATTACAGACTCAACGATGTACTTACTTACAAGACAAGAGCGCCAGTCAAATTTTATTACCGCGCTTATATATCAAATTATTTTCGAGCTTCCCCAAGCGTGCATTTTTTTACAAACATTGTTGCGCGACTCGCGAGTGTTTCGTGGTCGAAAACCACACTCAACCCGTGCCGGCGGTGCCAGTCAACCCCGTTACAAGGAATTAATTTCGTTTAATTACTTTAATTAGCTCAGCTTTTTTGTTTATTGAGGATTGCTGTTGTGCATCATGTAGAACAGAGGCTGAAGGCGAAAAAGAATAAATATTTTCCATTGAATTAATTAATTGTAAGAGGAGTTTTTGAAAGGAAACTAATATTGTGCAAAATGTGTAAATAATAAATCTGTATATTTAGAAAGGACAAAATATTATAATTATAATAGAAAGTCCTTCTGGTAATAATTAAATGATTATCATCTCTTTACCTCGACAATAACTAAGCAAGGAAAATATTTCGTCTGCACACACGAGCGCCGCGAGCGCTATGTTGGAACAAAAATGCATTTCGTTGCATGCACTTTCCGCTCGCGCGCAACTTATGGAACGAGAAGCAGAGTAACAACACCGCACACACAGCACACGCCGCCGCCGTTCGCCGCTTATGAAAAATTGGACATAAATCTAGAGCGAGCGCTTTTCCCATTCGCGCGAATGCATATTAGAAATTCGTTTATCTATGCGCCGCGAAGTCTATGGCTTTCCGCTGGCGTGGATATTATTAAAACGATCAGCATTTATACAGAACGCGGCGGCTACAAAGTTTCATGGTTGAGAAATCTCGATATCAACAAATCAATGGAATGTTCTGTGTTGCACCGAGCACCAAGGCCTTTATTTCTATTCATTTATCAGTGTACGTGTTTGTGCATGTTATAAATGTATTGTAGTTCAAATTTTGACAATTTACATTTTTTTTATAGATGCATTAGCAAATTGAGAAAGCTACAATTCTTCGTAGAAGAAATACCGAATGGGACCAAAATAATCAAAACTTTTTCATGTTAAAAAAATCATTAACTATTAAATTAATACAGTTATTCATCATGTCACCTGGTATATAAATAATAATTTACATAAATATGTAAATCACACAACGCCCAAACCGAGCATAAAATAGACATTGCCATCTAAAGCAGTTTTTTGTTAATCCGTCGAAACTTCAATAAAATTCTCGTCCGACATTTCGACTTTTGCTCATAAAAATCAGAACGGCATTGATTTACATCTTTTCGACATTCACAGGCATAAAATCTGGTCTATGACCATCGCGTACAAATGGGTTGGTTGGTAACATAAATACAATCTACCGTTGCAAAGACAAGAATAAGAATGTCTTCGGCGGCGAAGCCGATGGAAATCATTGCATGATACAATTAAATTTGACATGTCCCTTTAAGGTGCATCCTCAGATTATGACCCGCACGGTGCGCATCACATGTGCACCTGCCCGCGTGCGCGGTTAAGCGGTCGAAGAGATGTTGCGTTATAAATTAGGCACCCCTCTCTCCCGAAGAGGTTCGTCAACGTGAGGTAGTTACAGTGCACGCGCACGCTGTGCACTGCACCTGTCTTGACCACCATGACGCCTTTTTTCTCGTCTCCTTATGCAACTATCATCATCATCAACAACATCCACCACGAGCAGGTGAAACTGCACAAGACGCAACAAGACACGAAAGCAAAGCGGCGCGCGATGCGGGCACGTGCTAAACCGGCAATAAAAATCTCCGCTGCCTCTTGTGACCTTTGTGGAAGACACATTTGTATCTAAACTTTTATCATTTGTCAAGGTTGTGCCCCGTGTGTCCCATTTTATAGTAGGGCCGGCGCTTTTAAATACTGCATAAATGGGGACTTCGAAGAATTTTAAACGTAACTTTCCTTTGACGCTTTTATAACAGTGCTTAAAAGAGCGATTTGGAAAGTTTTCACTTCACCCCGAAAACAGATGTTTCGCTACTGGAGACCCCCGAGTGACGGGAGACTACTTTACTTAATTCCCATCATATTTCTTCAAAGTGTTTAGTTTTAGATACATTTTTTTACCCTAATCGGGGTGGTAAGATTCACAAAGTGTTGCGTAAGGTTAGCCGCTCTGAAGGTCGTCACGCATACGTAAACATCTTCTTCATTAAAAACTTTCAAGTCGGGAGGAAATCTACATAATTAGGACCACATTATTTAGGCTTCAACGTCGAGGCTAATATCGACGTTAATATTTATAAGCTCGTAAAAGTGCAACCGGCCGACGAAAATCAAGAAATCAACCCTGGATTTCCAAAAGAGATTGAATTTTAATTATTTCGTTTTCCTGTGTTCAATAGTTGTACTCACCCAATTTCTTTTTTGAACTACAAAACCGTTATTACAAGCATCTGGTTAAACTGGTTTTGTTTGAATGATTTACATACAAATCGGCAAAATTGGTCAAAATTTCAGTAACACAACTAATGATGCTCTAACAAGGCTAGTGTTAAATTTCGTCGAAAATTTATTGCGGTAAAATGCTCAATAAAATAGTCGTGGTTGAGCGCGCGCAAAAACCCATGGCAGCTACAAACCGGAAGAAATTACAAGCTCATTGAGCGCGTGGGCGTATGTGATGCGAGTACACTCGCACTAGTAATGCCGATATGATTCATGCTGTGGCATAATCACATTCCCATATTAAAGCGTGTGACTACATCCAGCTAAAAATAATGTTTCGCAAAAATCGCAAGCGTTTGGCGCCAACGAGAGCGAAAAGTGCATTTATCGCATCATTCACGCGCATCATGTGCAGTTTCGCGCGAAACTATTCTGGCGTGAATCACCATACGTCCGAAATTCTGAGAAGGATTATGTTTTTAAAAAACATTTGGTAGTCCCGGGAATCATAAAGACGCCGGTTGGCCGCGACCGCGACTGCGGCTGCTGCAGCGAGAGGAGGAGAAAAAAAAACAAGATTTTTTGAATGGAGAGAATTCGCGACGTTTCCTGTACGGCGAATAAAACCCGAGACCGGCGCGACAGCATACAAAACGCACTCTGCCAGTTTCGCATATAAAAGTTGAACGCCGTGTATGTATAGTATGACGTCTGGCGCGAAACATTCCGCCGTCTGGGATCATTTCCCACACACTGCGAGCTACCGCGGAGTTTAGAGTTCGCGCGTATTCCTCGCTCGCAAATGTGTAGATGTTGGCGTCGATGTGTGCGTTTTGGGTGGTGGATTGAATGAAAATTGATCGGCGTGGCGCCGCGTCGCGTAAAAAGGATCGGCGTAGTAATCCTGCATACCAACAGAGGCGCGCGCGCATGTTGGCGGGAAACGCCCGACGCGACGCCGCGCAAAATTTCGCTCCCACTTTACCAATGCAACACGCAAACATTACCAACATCAGCGCCTCAATTTGAACCTAACGCTACAGCTAGAGAGCAAAAGCAGCGCGGTGTCAAACAGGTCAAAATTCCTTTTCTCGGAAGGAATAGACCCTCCGCTCTAACACGAAATTTTCAAATTCTTAAAAGCGCAAACTTCTAAATTCACATCTTCAAGGTCTACCGGCGCGTGAATTTGTTTGGAGATTTGCATTTTATAAAAAGGGCGGCGCGGTGAAATATTCGGTTTCCGGCCTCGAGACGTGAAGGTTGTCTGGTGTCTTCCGACGCTACTAGTTTCGCTTTTAGAATTAGAATTTCAGCATTAGTTAATTGACCACGCGGAGCGGCAACCGAGAGAGCCGGTTCGCGTCGATCTGGGTTAATATGTCGTGGGTGCTGCGCTCAGGTCGTCCGAGTTCGCCGCGGACTTCGCGCATTGCACGCTCGGATACAAGTTATTTTAGCCGCTTGCGCTCGTTCAAGCCGGCCGTCCAATCGGGAACTACTGATTTAAAAGTGCTTAACACTTACCGGAATCTGATGGTGTCTCCGGCATATTCATGCTGTCGTTCTTATCTTTATGATAGCAGTGGTCGCTGACGAAAGGCGATGTGTGCTTGGCGACCTTTTGAGTTGCTGGGCTGGTCTGTTCTTGAACAGTGGGACATTTAGGTTTCGGTTTGGGCTCAATTTTAGGCTTAGGATCTTCCAACTGATCATCTTCCTCTTCCTCGAATGATTTGAAATAGTCCACCAGATCTTCATCGTCCAGATCACACTCGGAGATGTATTCTTGTAGATATTGTAAAACTTGGGACTTGCTCTCCTCATCATCTGAATTGGGCGGCGAATCGTAAAATTTAGTATTCTGCAGTGCATTCTGTTGTTCTACTGAGGTTTGCACTTGTTGAAACTGTTGTTGCATATATTGTTGTTGTTGCTGTTGTGGTTGTGTCTTCAACAGCAGACTTCTACCCGGTGCAATGGGGGATTGTTTCGTGGGGACAACTGGTGGTGTTATTAACGGGGGAGCCGGAGGGCTTGTCGGTGGTGTTGGTTGATAATTCATCATAGCAATAGGTGTAACCAGGCAGTTTTTAATATCTTCCACTGAATGCTCCTTGCTACCACAATGTCCAGCCCACATACAATCATGATTACGAATCTTTTCCTCACCCTTAGTCTCGACAGATTCAGGCTGGCGAACAATTTCTGTATCGGGACATTTGGTGCTATCATATTCGCCGCGATTCCATTCAAATTGTGTCATATCCCAGCCACCGGTGAAATGAAATTTATCCCAAATATCTTCAGTGAGCAAACAGTCCGAAGACATGTCCTCGTACAGATCGAACAACATGCTGGTCGCCATATTAGCTACTTTAATTTGTATCTTAAGTAGTTTTACTTCACTTGGCTCGATAACAATGTGTCGTTACCACTCTGACCAATATTTGTGTTTTTAATTCTAATAGTTACTAATATCTAGTATCACAAAATTCCCTGGCTTCGTCCGCCGTTCAGCGGGAGGTTTTGAGCTGCAAACAGAAGAGCAAAGGCGACCGTGTAAATGGATAAGTAAAATACCCCCGGCGTGTTGTGTGTAATTTAAAGCCAAGCGCCGAGCAACGTTGAAAATCTATTAACACGTCCGAAGGTGCAAAACAAGAAGGGCACCTGTTTGCTTGTCTATTAACACAACCGTATTTAGAAGCGCCCTCAAATCCCAACATTCCAAGAAACTGGTCGTTTTAAAATAGGCGTAACGCTTATCAAATTCTTGCTAAGTAAAAGTATTGAAAGGTTAAAGTTCACCGTATGGTGCATCGAAAAGAATTCATATGAAATTTTATTGTGAATTTCGTGCATTGCTAGAATACGCTTGGCACTAGTATAACAAGTAGAAATTCCGCGGGTAAATTATCAGTATTTTGTTTATTCGACTTCAACTTGATACAACACCATTTAGATGGGCAACACACTTGCCGCTATCTGAAGCCACGTAGCTGATACCTTCCGCAACATATTTTACCCGCGCAAGAATGTGCAATAACTTAAAAACTTGTATTCACTCACCTATAATATCTCTAATATTATGTCGAGGTATGTCCAATTAAAGCACTTTTAGATTATACTGTAAACTATGATTTATCTCTTGGCGGGTGAACGTATTTAAAAATTAAACAAAAAAGTGGAAAAAAAGGAACCAAATTCGCCGTACACTGTTTTGTTTGTTTCTATATCTCTCTGGCCGCTGCTTTCTTCTTCGTTGGAGGTACAAGTTGACGAGCACGACAATTTATTTAAAAGAGTTCTCGTGCAGATATTCTCGCCGATCGCGTTGATTAATGCGGCGAGTTCAGTTTTTTTCTAACGCACGGCGTGTCGAGGACGAAACAGACCGCAGACGATATCAGCAGCACGTTAATTATAACTTTTCCACACTTCTTCGGCTCTACATTCAACTTTGTATACATGCTTATTTCAATGATGTAGTTGGGAAAATGTAGGGCTCCCGTTGCAGACGATGGACGTCCAACAGCGAAGAAGGTGCAACTGCGACTGCCGGTGGATTCGACAAAAATCTGTTTGCCGGTGCCGGCTTCTCCATCCTCGGTTGCGTCGCGTCCTCGGTTCGGAGCGGCGATCACTCATGGTATGAGTACCGGCACCTTAATTTTGCTTAAAATTGCATATTTTAAAGCGTTACACCTAGTGACAGTTACATCAATCGATAGCTCTCAATTTTCCGCATATGATACGATTTAATTCACAAAGAATCATTAGATTTTCACGTTTTTATTTACAATTTACCGTAGTCTTACTTTCGACGCGTAGTCAACGGCGCGAGGAGTACGCATGCGCATTACCAAACAACTCGCGCTCCGAACGTCCCAACTCCTGCATGCTTCACAGTACTATTTCAGCATCGTCGGCTGTGTTTGTAGTTTGTAACGTTTGTAGTATAATGTAGATTACAACTTTCATTGCGCTCAATGAATTTCATACCGCGCGCACTTGGACGAATGCTACAATTGTTGCGACATTTTTCAATTTGAACTCTCGATTACAATCGATTATTTATGCAATCTTATTTCGCCACGCAGCGTGGACTAGGGTCGTTTGTTTAGTGTTTCTGTGCGAAACAAATGAAAAACGAGTGTCGCATGCCTCATTTAGCATCGATTCGGTATCGTTAGGTATTGTTTTACGAAATAGTTAACAAGGAATTTGAATTGCCATTGTTTGTCCGGTGTGACGACGCGTTTTATGCGAATTGTGCGCACATTATATTAATTATTTTCGAGAGAGCTTGGCTTTTGCAGATCGATTTACGTAATGCGTCGAGTCGCAAAGATCTTGCTGTAGTCTGGGCGTCCATATGTCTCCGCGGAATCTCTCTTTCATTGCTCTCTTCGTAAGTTTTAAATCTCTCATTCAGCGCTTGCTCGTTTTCGGTTTGTTTTTCGCCTGGGACCTTACTTAGGTTCTACATGTTCGCATTTAGTTTTTTATGTTGGCACTGAGGGTGTCGCATAATATATTCAACCGAAACCATGACTCAACAAATTTTTTACTTCTAAATTTCTGTATTAAATAGAATAAATCTTACCTTCACGACGAGTAAGGGGGCACAAAATGAACTGTCAAAATTGAACAATCAAACAAAATGGCGCTAAAATATCTCAATTTGCGTCTGCGCGTAGTGACGTAGTGAAAATGTCAAAAAATTACATAACCTACACAAATTTGAAATAACGTCAACTTATGTTATAACATTCTACACTGTTATTACTAACTACTCTGGTGAGTTTACTAATAGATAAACGTGTTTAACAAACTTTTAATAATATATTTTTAGCCAAACCATTACTTAAACCAACAATAAATATATCATTGAGTAAAACAATGTAAAATCGTCGTGGAAGACATACTGCAGCAGCCCAGGCACTGAAAATGCAAAGAATGCGTCTTAATTGCATCCTCGGTGCTTTTATTCCAGGCGGCGAAGCAGGCCTCTTAATGAATGTAATGCACCGGCACCGGCTCGGCCAGGTAGAGTGCAACCGAATACCGTTAGGACACCGATAGGCCGATGCACGCCGGTCGCGGCGAACGTGTCGAACCTGCTAAACGAGCGCATTCAGACATTCGCAGCATGCAAAACGCGCCGCGGAATTCGCGAGCAATGTGGCTGCACATATCCGCCCGTCGGGCCGTCCGCCTCTGGATCGCACGCGGTGCGATTGTTAACATATCGCTGAATTAATATTACACACTTTGCCGGCGTTAATTACTTCCATCGAAATTGTCGGAAATTCATATAAAATAAATCATTTGATTTATTTACTGCACATACGGGTTGGTCACACGGGCAAAATCAATTACTGCGTTTAATTCATCCTACAAAGTAACAGTTCAAGTAGAATAAGTTGCATACATATTTTAAAAAGCCGCTTTTTTTAGTTGGTGAAATTTTATGGTACGATTTATGTAATTAATCGATATTTAATGTGTATTCGCGCGCGCGCTTGCGCTCTTATGGGTTCAGTCGCATTTTTCGAATACTCTATCATTGCAAATTTCACAATCGCGTAGTTACACGCTCATTGAGAAGAGAACATTGCAAATTATTGACGGTGCACCGGCGAATGTTGCACAACGCTTCCACAATTATGCGGCAAGCCAAGGTAAAACGTCGCGCACAGCATGCCTATCGCCGCACGCATTACAATGTAGTTATCTGTCCGTAATGCCGCGCGCGTTTTCATACGTGAACTTAATTTCTTTTAAATATCCCTGAAGCAATTGGGTTACCGCATTCAGCACACACAACTTCAGCGTCATTCAGCCGCTGGCAACGCACGGCTTCGTCATTCATATAGAATACTATTATCTGCAAGTTACAGGTATTAAAATTAAAAATTCCGGCTTTTTTTCAAATTTGTATAAAGCTAACCTACGTACCAAATGTCTAATTGCTTCATAATGTTGAATGCACCTATGATAATGCATTATGATGAGCGGATGTATTCAAATTTCCGGTTTAAAACTACGCCATTACACTGGACACACATTTTTCGTTTTTTTCCGTGTAGGCTATTAAAAGTGAAATTGAATAAAATAAAAAACTAATTTAAATCAAGCGCTATCTTTGAGGATAGCCGGTATCAAGGACGATAAGGCAAGGATGAGGAAACAGAAACCTTCAATAAATTACGCACGCGGTTTCTATTCTTATTTAACACATAGTGTTCGAAGTTAAACTTACTATAATTTAATCATTTTTATTTTAATCAGACATTTTGAAACATTAATCTGTAAATTATGCGGCGTTATGAAATCGTACACACCAAATATATTTGCATACTTACATCAATTTATTTACATAGAAATAAATTCATGATTTTTGGTTTAATGTTTGCAAAGAATTAACCAATTGTTTTTCATAATTAAACGAAAATTATAACTAATTAGTTGCGCATGGTGTAACATGATGATATCATCGAGAAGGCCCTTATTACTTAATTCGGCTCGTATTAGATCTAATGCCAGTGACAAACGCATAATACCCATACTTTCCCTTTAATATGGGCCTTATAATTGGTTCATTCTTGGGTTGTTATGAGTATTATTTTCTCCGACCGCAACAGCCCGAAAAGTGGAAATGACGGAAGAGTAAAAGAAAACTAACCGACCACGACCGTATAAAAAACAACAACCGGTATTATTAAAACGCATTAAAACCCACATAAAATTTCGTGCATCTTTTGGTGCATCAAAAACGAAAATTCAAAATTCAAACATGAAAACACCTATTTTTAAATAACAGGTTACCAAACAGGTAGGTCAAACTTTTAATTGCAATAAATAAGTATTTTCGAAATAAATTAGCAACAAATTAAAAGTTTGTTTGTATCGAAATTAATTGCAATAAATTGTGAGATTCGGACCGATGAAAACAAAGTCTTGTTAATTGTTTATCGCAAGATAAATATTTAAAAATAGTTATGGTTTGTTATTTGGGTCGTTGAAGACTTGCCGACAGTTTCATTGCAGTGTCTGTTTCGTGTTCACTGCGAGTGTTTATTGAGTTGTAAGAATTTGAAATTGCACTTATTTGTATAATTTTCATTGCGCACGTTTTCTTATCGGATAATTTCCGCACGTGTACATCTCACCGTCATTACCACCTCCGCATTTCCAGCCTCGGGAAAGTACTAAACCGCAATATGTAAATGTTTAATCACAATTTGATAAATTTATAAATAATTTCCATACAAAGTACACGAACGCGGTATGAATGCCTTCAAAGTTATAATTTCAATTAAAAGTTAAACACTCATTATTTCTGTTAGAATGGTATCAGTATCAGACTTGTAGTCGACTGATACGCCTCCGTTGGTCGATACGTGGGTGATAAACTAATTATTACCAAAGACCAGGCCACACTCTGCGCAGTTTTACATCCTCTCACATCCTTACTGCAGTGGTTTGACGCAAATCCCAACAACCGGCGCGGCGTTATAACCAGATGCGATATGCATGCGAAATTTTACCAAATTCCGCGCATTAATCGAGAGAAAGGAATTTAATTACTCACATCCTGTCGCTGGCGTTTTAAATTACTTCGCACCTCAGCCGGTTTATTTGCATCACATGCGATTATAATAATAGTGATTTTAGTGCAGTATGCAAACTCGCTTCGAAGCAGGTAAAATGAAACACAATCAAATGTGTGACTTTTTTTTAGTACTTCAGTGAAGAGAGGCTACGAAGTGTGCACTTAGCGACGGTAGGAAACTCGGAACCCTTGTGAGTGCTTGTCGTTATCGCCACTAATATTAATTAACATAGATTCCGAATTATATCGTTAATATTGCATGTGCTCACTTGGAATATGAATAGCACCTACGAGTGTTGCTACTATCGCTCATTGAACTCCATTTGCATTTGAGCGCTCTACTTTTGGTGACAGTTTTTCAATTCGACAAATTTGATAATTATCACTAGGGCTACACGAGTGGGTGTTACTTGAAATGCGTGTGAATTGGTAAATGGGTAGGGTAGGTAATGGAGGAGGCAAAAATTTCTTTTTTGAATTTTTTTCTTCTCCTAAAAAAACCAAATAAAAAAAATTATCTGCTCGAAAACTTTTTCAAAACTTGCGTTTTTATCCAACTTATTTGAAATTTATAAAATTTATGGCAAAATCAAAGAGTATTTTGTATTTTTTCGCTATTTTCAGACAAATAACCTCGTTATTTACAACAACTCTCCGTTTCTCTTGTTATTTGTACTCTAAAGCAAATTTATACTACCTACCAAAGGGTATATTTTATCCACCCACTGAATTTTCCTTTCTAATGATACTTGATCCAACACACTGCGCCGCTAAACACCTGAATTATGACACAAGCAACTTTTCTTACATTCTGAAAATGCTCCGATCGAATCTAGTGTAGTCTTAATCAAATCTCCACCTAATCCAAGTTTCAAATTTATCCTCACAAACGACTCGTCTCGCCGCTTGCTTTTAGTTCAACCTAGTTCCAGTTTCTCTCAAGGCGGATGTACTCCTAATTCTAGTTCTAGATTGAACGCCGATGACGCTCCCGATGACAACGCGATCGTCTCGCAACAGACGCCTTCTTGTTGGCGTCTCTCTGCCTCTCCTCGTGCTTCGCCGCCGCCCGCCCGCCGTCGTTGTAAATTCTAATTTTGTTGCCGGGGCGTGGGCGTGCGGCCAACATGGGAAAGCGTCGTGCAGCGTCGCGCACATAATTTAATTACTTACAACCTACGTCATGTGCGCGATGCACTTTTCTGCATATGGAAAGTGACCTGCACTAGGGACGAGCGCTTGCGGAGGATGATCAACGCGCCACTTTCATGTCGTCTCGCAAATGCGCTCATTCATCCAGAAACGATCATTAATATTCATTAAATCGCGTGTGCGCAATTGAATCATTATGACAAATTGTCTTTTGTTTTCTCCACCGTGTAGGAAAGTACGGAAAGTAGTAAGTAATAAATACATTTGTATTGTTGGGTAATGAGAGGCGCTTGTGTTTTGTTTCGTGGATTTCTGAATGGAGAAAAAATGCATTAACCGCGATAGTAATACTTTGGCGCCAAGGACGAATCGCTTACGATTTAACTCGCGCTAGCGCCGCACACTTGTGCAGAAATGCAACGTGCGCTTGCGATTTACGTTTATGTAAGTGTAATTGCTTTATAATGTCATAGTAACACAGATACACTTGTTACTACAAGTATAAATAGTAAATACCTGCAATATTTCATTTAATCTTCTACTATAAAGCTATTTAATTTGCTGCCACGCCTGTTTAATATCATCTACCACGCATGCGGTGGTACAATTAAAATTCAGGTATGGATTTGTAACGGTTTCAACTGCATTTGCATAAGAATACCTTATGTGCTTCCTGGAAGATGACAATTTCTTTCAAACTATTCGACTTTCAACGCTTCAGAGCAACCAATAAATTATGCTTCACACGAAATCGGACAGGTGCTTGCGAATTTACATTACAAGCACTTTTCGTATGCAAACAAACAAATGTTAAGTTTTACCAGCTGCAAGATGTCCGCAATAAATTTTCACACAATTTGGTTTATTGTTTAATTTTTGTTATTTAGCAGTTGAGGAAATACTATACATTCTTTTTTTTTAATTTTTGTGTCGTAGCGCAGATGTAAATTTTTATAAAATAGCGATTTTCAGCTTTTCTGATGTTTAAAAGCTCATATTATTGCGAAAAATTGTAGTAAACAAAATATCAAAATTTAATTTTAATAAAATTTCGAGTTTTTGGAATAAAATATTAAATTTAAAGAGCAGTTAATGAGAGATAATGATTAGATACATTTAAGTACTTGAAATTTTAAATTTTAAGTAAATATAATAAAATACCGATCAAAAAATCATAATATTTTATATTGAACAATAACGCCAAGTAAAGAAAGAAATATTGGCATATGTTTATAGTTGTATCATGTCGTTATTTCGCTTCAGAGTACCGGCATACATAAAGTTATCATATGAATAGCACTCCGACCCACACAATGTGCATGCGCCATGTTTGCAGCTGCAAGATGTGACAATACACCGATAGATAAGAAGATGTCAATCGGGTCAACATTTGCAAGGTCATGTTTCAGGTAGAAAATGATATTGCAATGTAGGTATTATTCAAAATGCCAATGCAAAATCCGTATTTACTTTCAACGCCTGTAAATAAACGAGCAGAAACTTTTCAACTCCTTGACGAAGACGAACCAGCACAGCATCGCGCACGACATTGAGATTTATTGTCTTTCATGTGCCATT